AGGAAAGTGCGCTCCCCATCTCGGATCCTCGATAAATATCGGGGTCTGCAGACACCCGTTTTTCTTGTTCAAATAAGAAGGTGGGGGGCAGTTGTTGCAGGATCCCTAAAACAATCCAACGTCTTGAGCCCCGACGGGGCCACAAAAAATCATAAAATGTTGATGTTTTGCCTGCCCGCTCGAGGATGGCGAGTTCTGCGCGCAGAAATTCTGTGGATGTTTCGAGCGAAGCGCTCATTTTGCAAAATTTGACCAGGCCTGGGCGCTCCAGGATGCTCAGGAAGTTCTGGGAGCGCAAGCCCAGTGCAATTTAGCAGGGGTCGCGGCTTCGGGAGCGCACATTCCGTGTACTTTACAAAGGCTCGGGGCCCTGGGAGCACGGATCCAGTGTAATTTACTAAAGACCGTGGGCCTGGGCGTGCGGGGGCTGCGTAATTTACGAGGGTGTGCAGCTTTGGGAGCGCAAATCCAGGGTGACGTATGAGGGATCGCAGCTTTGGGAGCGCAGATCCCGTGACATTCCGAGGGATTGCGGCCTTGGGAGCCCGGGTGCCGTATATTTTGCGAGGGATCCTGGCCCTGGGAGCGCGGGCGCCACGTAATTCGCAAGGGGTCGTGGCCCTGGGAGCGCGGATGGTTCAGAATTTGTTATTGAAATCGCGTGTTTTCATATGTCCAGGCCACCGGGGGAAGTATCTGAAATGGTGGTTCCGAGCTGGGACCACGTGTTTCTACATGTTCAGGCCACCCCGGAGGGGTATCCAACATGGTGGTCCTGCGCTGGAACCGCGTGTTTTCAAGTGTCCAGGCCACCCAGGGAGGTATCTAACATGGTGGTCCTGTGCTGCAGCCTCATGTTTTCACGTGTCCAGGCCACCCAGGGAGTATCTAACATGACTGTCCAGAACTGGAGTCGTGCGTTTTTACGTGTCCAGGCCGCCCAGGGGGGATATCCAACATGGCGTCGGGCCCAACGCCGAATTATGAGGAAACGCACGGGGGGCCGAAAAAGGTTACCCGAACACATATCCCAATACAGGAAAGTCATGTTTTCTTGCTCTGGACAGGGGGTGGCGCTTTGGGGGCCTCTCCAGGGACGACATTGCGAGGATGTGTCGAGCCGGAGCGCGAATTCAGCGTATCCAGGCCACGCAGGGGGGTATCTCACATGGTTGTCCCGAGCTGGAATCACGTGTTTTCACGTGCCTTGGCCACCAAGGGCGGTAACTAACATGGTGGTTTCGAGCTGGAACCACGTGTCTTTACGTGTTCAGGCCTCTCAGGGGTGTATCTTACATGGTGGTCATGCGCTGGAGCCGTGTGTTGCCACATGTCCAAAGGGAGGGATCTAACATTGTGGTCCTGTGCTGTAATCTTATTTTTTCAGTGTCCAGGCCACCCAGTGGGGTATATAACATGATTGCCCCGAACAGGAACCTAGTGGTTTTACGTGTCCAGGCCGCCCAGGGGGGATATCCAACATGGCGTCGGGCCCAACGCCCAACTACGAGGAAACGCACGGGCGGGCGAAAAGCGCTGCCCGAACACATATCCCAATCCAGAACAGTTATGTGTTCGTGCTCTGGACAGGGGGTGGCGCCTTGGGGGCCTCTCCAGGGAGGGCATTGCGAGGATGTGTTGAGCGGGAGCGCGAATTCAGCGTATCCAGGCCACGCAGGGGGGTATCCAACATGTTTGTCTCGAGCTGGAACCAAGTGTTTTACATGTCCAGGCCACCCAGGGGGGTATCTAACATGATTGTCCCGAGAAAGGGCCACGTGTTTTAACGTGTCCAGGCCACTCAGGGATGTATCCAACATGGTTGTCCCGGGCTTGTACCACGTGTTTTTACATGTCCTGGCCACCCAGGGGGGCATCTAACATGGTGGCCCCGAGCAATGACCATGTGTTTTAACGTATCCAGGCCACCCACGGGTGTATCTAATATGGTCGCCCAGAGCTGGCACCCACGGTTCTACGTGCCCAGGCCGCCCAGGCGGGTATCTAACATTGTTGCCCCGAGCTGGCACCACGTGCTTCGACGTGTCCAGGCCACCAAGGGGTGTATCTAACATGGTTGCCCAGAGCTGGTACCACGTGGTTTTTACATATCCAGGCTACCCAGTGGTGTATCTAACATGATTGCTCCGAACTGGAACCACGTGTTTTTACTTGTCCAGGCCGCCGAGGGGGGGGTATCTAACGTGGCGTCGGGCCCACCGCCGAATTACCAGGAAACGCACGGAGGGGGGAGGGGAGACCGCGCTACCCGAACGCATATCCCAAAACAGGAAAGTGATGGTTTCTTGCTCCGGACAGGGGGTGGCGCCTTGGGGGCCTCTCCAGGGAGGACATTGCGAGGATGTGTCGAGCGGGAGCGCGACGTCAGCGTATCCAGGCCACGCAGGGGGGTATCTAACATGGTTGTCCCGAGCTGGAATCATGTGGTTTCACGTGTCCAGGCCACCCAGGGGGGGATACCACTTGTTTTTTCGTGTCCAGGCCATCCCGTCGGGTATCTAAAATGGTCGTCCCGAGCTAGCACCACGTGTTTTGACATGTTCAGGCCACCCAGGGGGTAGAGAACATGGCTGTCCCGAGCTTGAAACACGTGTTTTACGTGTCCAGGCCACCCAGGGGGTATCTAACATGATTATCCAGGGCAAGGGCCATGTGTTTTAACGTGTCCAGGCCACCCAGGGTGTCTCTAACATGCTCGTCCCGAATTGGAATCACGTGGTTTCACGTGTCCAGGCCGCCCAGGGCGGTATTTCACATACATACGGATGGAGGGGCACGCCGGGCTTCCCATATAGGCTCCACGGGCATGACGGTTACGCTTTGGCAGCACCATCCACAGCAAGGTTGGATTCGGCAACTGTTCTTGGTGAAGGGCCAATTTGTCGACCACGAATGCACGCCCTTTTTCACAGAGCTTCTAGCGATGAAGGAGGCCATGAGACTAGTGACTACTTGGATGCAACTTTCCTAACTTGAACTTCTTTGTGACCAATCTTCCCAAGGTTCAGGGTCGCCCGCCACGAAAACAAAAAACAGGTGCTTTAACGTGTCCAGGTCACCTACGGGGGTATCTAACACGGGCTTTCCTGGGTGCCTGGAACGGACGTCTAACATGAAGATGTGTTGAGGATGTCTCGAGCGAACCACTTGTCTTCACGTGTTCAGTTCGCCCAGGCGGATGTCCAGCATGAGGTGGCACGTCCATTGGCACGTTCCGTAGCGCGTCCCTTTGGCACGTCCCGCGGTGCGTCCCCGTGGCACGTCCCCTGGCACGTCGCCGGGCGCGTCCCTTGGGACGTTCCGCGGCGCGTCCTCCTAGCATGTCCCCCTGTCACTTAGCTCTGGGGCAGCTACATGTGCTCAGGCAGCTCGAGCTTAAGATCCAGATCAGTTCGGTCAGGACTCGGATGCAAAGGAGGACTCGATCCACAACGTTATAGAGCACAATCGCGGCATGGCATATCGCAGTTCAGCACGGCGCAGCACAGCACAGCCCTCGGCACGGTACATCAAGATCGATCCACTCAGCATTGCAACTTGGCACGTTCCGTGGCGCGTCCCGTGGCGAGTCCCTCAGATCAGTTCGGTCAGGACTCGGATGCAAAGGAGGACTCGATCCACAACGTTATAGAGAACAATCGCGGCATGGCACATCGAAATTCAGCACGGTGCAGCACAGCACAGCCTTCGACACGGTATATCAAGATCGATACACTCAGCATTGAATTTGCCCGTCGCCCAATCAGGTGGCTTTGAAGCGTTACCATGCCTTACATGTCTATATTCTTCCCCAGGTTCGTGGGTCGATCATACTTTAATATAATGTATATGGCTTATGGCCTCGGGGACGCGACTACGGCGTAGTTTACTAGGAATTATGGCGGAACTATGGCCTCGGAGACGCGAATATCATTTATTTGTACGTGTCCCACGCTCCCCCAGGAATTCAGACAACGCAATCTGGGCGTGGTAAAAAATGGTTTGGGGCTCCCCCCCTCACGCGTTCAGCAACAATTAACAGTAAGGAAGCAGAAAGCAGGACTGTAACAATGGAAACTGGAAGCTGCAACTGGAACATGGAGCTGCAATCCTCATCCTCGCATCCTGGTGGCCCCGCAAGGGGGCCGGCGGATTCTTGGCACTTCAACCATGCGGTCTTCGAACCTACTGCAATCTTTCAAAATGAAGTTGCTCGGCGCTCAGGCGAGAGCCTACACTTTGAAGCGAGCGTAGTTGATGTTGCGCGAGGAGTGTACGCGGGGGGATAGGGGGGAGAGGAAAGGTGCACAGAGGGCAGGCGAAGGAGAACAGAGACGAGAGTGGGGGGCGAAAAGAGAGAGCGAAGAGGGGGAGAGGGGGAGGAGAGGTCGACACCCTTACCGTTGTGCACTCCCCTCTGCCCCAGCGATCTTCTTTTCCTGTCCAGTGTTATTCGCCCGTCTGTTTCCTGTCGTGCGCGCACTGGCTGCACATCTTTGAAGCTGATCCAGCGCTGCGTTCCCCCTTCCCCTTTTTTCTCGGATCGCGACCCTCAAGGCGCGAGGGCTCACGCCAGCCAGCGCTTGTCCAGCGGGAGGAGGAGGAGGAGGAGGAGGAGGAGGAGGAGGAGGAGGAGGAGGAGGAGGAGGAGGAGGAGGAGGAGGAGGAGGAGGAGGAGGAGGAGCGGGGGCGGAAGGAGGGAGTGCAGGTGGGTCGTGGAGGAGGGCGAGGGAGGACCCAGACGTCCGGCGTCTCGATTTTTTTCGAGATGTGGGCCCCCGACCTCTCGACCACTTTCCCAGGACTGGTTTTTCATCCTGAGTCGTTTATTTGACGGCCCCGAGGCCCGGTGAGGGCCCCTCGAGGCCGACAATAACGAAACATCTCCCGTCGCGGTGTTTTCACGACGCGAGGAGGTGTGGGGAGGAAAGGGGCCGCGGGGGAGGCGCGGGAGGGAGCACGGGGCACAGGGGGCGGGGGGGGGAGGGGAAGGGGAACAGGATGGCCGGGAGCGGAATGCCGCTCGGGACCATCATGATCTATTTCTGCTCCTACATCTGCGTGCACGCGGCGTGCCAGGTCATCACTCCTCCTCCTCCTCCTCCTCCTCCTCCTCCTCCTCCTATTCCTCCTCCGTTTCCTCCTCGTCCTCCTCCTTCTCCTCCGCTTCTTCTTTGCTTTCTCATCTGCTCCCTCCTTGCCCCCGCCTTCTCCGCTTCGTCCTCTTCATCCGCTTCTTCCTTCGCTTCCTCCTTCTCCTCCTCATCCTTTTCCTCCTCCTCACACCCCCCACCTCTCACCTTCAACCTGCCACCTGCCACCTCTCTCCCTGGCTCCCTCCCTCCCTCCCCTCCTCACTCGCCTTGAGACAATCGAAGAGTTATACGGATGGCGGGTCGTTTTGAAAATGGGAATCTCACCATGGCGCCGCGCATATTTGGTGTTACACGCGTGCAGGGATGTATGGAGGGCGGTTCGTTTTCAAATTGAGGGTCCCATGTAACGGCTGGAGGGCGGCTCCTTTTTAGATTGGAGTCGCGTGTGACTTCGTCATATTGTCTGGCACCATGTTTGTTCATGTATAGCGCTTGTTCAGGTGGATGTCGGACCTTTTCAAATCGGAGCTGTCGCTCGGCATTTCCGTGGACTTGATGACCCAGCTCCCCTGGAATTCTTTTGGCCACAAGGATGAAGGGTGGGTCCTTGACATGGTGGGATCTCGCCTGAACTGCATGCCCAAAGGGGCGTACGTCTGTCCAGGGGGTGCTCGCCACAGTGAAGAGGTTATTTCTGCGGACTTGGGCCGCCAGGGCTCCTTGCGGCATCGTTGCATATTGGGTTTGATCTGCTCCTCCTCTTCCTACTTCCTCCCTGCTGCTCCTCCTCCTCCTCCTTTTCCTCCTCCTCCTCCTCCTCCTCCTCACCCTCCTCCTCCTCGCCCTCCTTCATCCTTCCCCCTCCTCCCCCCTCCGCCCCCTACTCCTCCCCCCTCCCCCCTCCTACTCCCCCCTCCTCCCCCCTCCTCCCCCATCTTCCCTCATGTTCCGCTTCCTTCTCGCTCGCTCGCTAATCTAAGGGCTAATAGGTTCGAAGCTCATACTGAAGGGTAAAAAAGAGAGGCGAAGCCAGTTCAAAGACCCCCGTGCACGTGCAGAGGCAGGGGGGGGAGATGCAGTTCACCCACCGACGATATCAGCATTGAGCGGTGACAAGAGACTCTCCTCGAGTTCACGGAGCAGCACCCTTGTCCCAACGTGGCTGGCAGAAACTCTCTGCTTGACCGCCGTGCGCAGAGCAATTTGTGCCAGCAAGCGCCTCGGCGTCTCGATTTCGTCCTTTGGCGGTATGCGCACACCTGCCGCAGTTTCCTTCAGCATTCCTGAGCTCCTGGATACCTCCCAAGTGCACAGTGCACGGCAGAGATCAGGGAGGGAAGCACGTGTGGGGGCCCGAAATCATACATATCCAACCTGGAATGGTGCGATTGCGGCTCCTCCTTCGGGGCGCAAAACTCAAGAAGCTAATTCAACGCACTGCCCCCCCCACCCCGTGGACGCCGATAAGCAAACTAACAGATCGGATCATCCACCTCCAGCCCTCATGCAGAAGGGACGCGGCACCTTGTACGGCCCTGCTCTCCGCTCTGACCTTGGCACCCAACGCGTTGCCGAGCGCCAGTTCACGTTCTTAGAAGGGGATCCCTCTATCCTTGCCAGCGCTTGGTCCCCCAAAACGTGCCAAGCCCAGGGAGCAGCACGACCCCGCGGGATCCGCCCACCTCTGCTCCACGCCGGCCGGGCGGCCAGGGCCGAGGGCTCCACGGCCAGGGCAGCCGAGGCAGCCCGCTCGTCGCGGCCTCCCTCCCCGAGGGCAGCCCCTGTGCAGTGCGGCGTGCCCCCCGCCCCCCCCGCGCTCCTCTCACCGGCGGCGAGGTCCGAACCCTGCCCTCGGCGGCTGGCCGTCACCCGGGATGGCGAGCGGCGGCCCTCCTGGATGCACACCCGGCCGCTGTGTGGCAAATCGCCGTCGCTGGGCTCCAGGTTTTCCTCTGCGGAGGGCATCCTGTCCAAGCCCTTCTCGCCCTCACAAGTGGGAGCTCGCTGTGCGCTGCCAGGGCCCTGCTGCAGCCGGACATCTTGCAAGGCCGATGTGCGGGGGCAGCTGGGAGTCACCTGGCCGTTGGCCTTTCTAGCCACGTCCAGTCGTACATTCGACGGTTCACTTGGCCAATCTGAGACCGTACTACCACAAGCAATGCAGTCTCCATGGGACTTCTTGTCCCTGGGACCGGCGGACTGCTGCTGCTGATGCGCACCACATAAGGACAAATTCGCGGCAATCTGCCGCAAGCAAGAGCCGTCAGGTTTGCGTACACTTCAACTGGCTGAGGAGGTTCATCGTCTAGAAAAACTCGCGTGTGTCAACCTGCCCCATGCAAAACGTCCTTTCCTCCCTGGGAAAGCCGTGAAACTCTGATTGAGGAACGTAGTGCTCGATACCTGAGATCTGTGCCGATGTCAAGCAATCTTGTCCACCTTGCCGACAACATGTGCGAAACAAAGACTCATTCAGATAGTCATCACAATTTAAAGTCTAGGCTGCTTGTGCGGTGGCGACGTGACGGGCGTTCCATCCGAAGTGCAAGCCTGATGGGTTCGTGCCATCGCCTCTCTGACCTCCTGCGAGCTCAGCTTGTCCTTCTCCATGTCTGTGGTCTTCTGAGCGCCCGTGAGGCTCACCTGCGGTCCCGCGGTGTACTCTACCTGAGCCGCTTCACGGGCTGTGTCGGCTGTGTGGACCTCACTACTGGAAGCTTCGAAAGCCCCATTGGTGTCGTCGGCGAAGCGAAGAGCCCCATCTGGAACTCGGCTGTCGTGTCGGCACATGTTGTGGCGTAGGCGATGCTTTTGGTGTTGGGCATCCCGTGGCTGGCGTCCTCCCAATCGGCGTCGAAGGCGATGGCTGTGCGGGCGTGGTCGTAGGCGATGAATGGGCGTCCCCAACTCCAGCACGAAACCCCGCCGACACCTTTGTGCTGATTTCACTGCCTGCTCTTAGCACATATCCTTGATCTCCCGTCTTCACCCACGTCTCTCAAACCGCCCGTAGGGCTTGTCGGTACCGGCGTTGCCGCCGCTGCTGCCGCCTCCGCTGACGATGGCATCTGCCAATGTGTAGACGGTGGCACCATTGAACTGTGATCAACCTGCACCTTGTGCTTGAAAGCCTGCTGCTGCTGGTGCTAGAGCTGCTGCCGGCAAGCTCCAACCAGCATGCCACTGACCCTCTCCGCCTCCTTCCCTGCCCTGTGGCAACTCCCGGCAGCAGCCCGCGCAGCTCCTGGAACGGTCTGGCTCCTGCCCCTGCTAGCCCCTTGTTGTGATCTGGCCAGGGGCTGGGATTCTGCTGTCGGTCAGTCAGTCAAGCCCGGCGCTCCAACGGCGCATCGGCAAACACAGCAGTTGCTCGTGCACGCCTTCAGGGGGAGAGCCCTGCTGCAGGAGCCCCTGCGGCTGCGGCTGCGCATCGGGCAAGCGCGCCACGGCCTTGCGCCCGCTGTGGTTGGCCTCCCGGCGGCCCTCCCCGCGGGGGCTGTGGACCTGGCGCGGTGGCACGGAAGGCGCGGCCGCTGCAGGCGCCGCCGCGTCCTCTTCCGCGATCGCGTCCTCCACCTCCTGTACGCTCTTTTTAACCATGCGAACAGGGGGCCCCGCGGCCGAGGAGGAGGAGGAGGAGGAGGAGGAGGAGGAGGAGGAGGAGGAGGAGGAGGAGGACGAGGAGGACGAGGAGGACGAGGAGGAGGGAGGAGGAGGAGGAGGGAGGAGGAGGAGTTGGAGGCGGAGGCGGAGGAGGAGGAGGAGTGGAGGAGGAGGAGGAGGAGGAGGAGGAGGAGGAGGAGGAGGAGGAAGGAGAAGGAGGAGGAGGAGGAGGAGGAGGAGGAGGAGGAGGAGGAGGCGGAGGAGGAGGAGGAGGAGGAGGAGGAGGAGGAGGAGGAGGAGGGGAGGAGGAGGAGGAGGAGGAGGAGGAGGAGGAGGGGAGGAGGAGGGGAGGAGGAGGAGGAGGAGGAGGACGAGGAGCAGGGAGGAGGAGGAGGAGGAGGAGGAGGAGGAGGAGGAGGAGGAGGAGGAGGAGGAGGTGCACCGAACTAAGTAAGTCAGTCTGGCGGCCCCGGCTGGGCCCGCAGCCGCACCTCCAGGGCGGCGCGCCAGGCCTCCGTGCCACCGCCGGCGCGCACCGCAGGCGTCAGCAGCATCGCCGCCCGCGGGGGCAGCGCCAGCGCCCACCCCGTGCAGGGCCTCGCCGACAGCTGCGCCCTCCGCGCCGCCGTGGCGCCGCCGCAGCGCAGCTTGGCCATGCCAATCGTGTTCTCGGTCTCCTGTGTCTCCAGGTCCCTGATCCTCTCTTGGACGTCTTTTAACTTCTCGGCTGCCCGATCGAATCTGCCTTTTACTCCGCGAGTTGCTTTCCGAGCGGCATCGTCGACTGCATCGTGCACTTGGTCCAAATCTGCCGTGCAGATCTGCCTCTCTGGCACGGCGAGACGTCATGGCCAGCACTGCAAGATGTTTCAGCTGCCTCCTGACCTCCATGCAGTAGGTCTGCTGGTCGCCTCCTCCTGGAAGCTGGCGGTGCGCGTTCCCCCTCTGAGCCTCGTCATTCGTCATTGTCGCGGTGCGAGACAGGTAGGTGCGAAGCTTTCTCTCGGTGAATGTTTCTAAGCGCGACCTGCTGCTCGGACGAGGCTGTCCCTTTGCAATCGGCCTGTCTTGCTTGGAAGGAGGGTAACCAGTGTACCCAAGACCGCACCAACAACGTTCCACAATCTGGGTAATCCCACCTTGGAGTCCATCCTGACATGCCGGTTTGCTGACGGCTGAAGGGCTGCGGCTGCTCCGAGTGGTACTGAAGCTTCTGACTTGTCATCGCTTGGACGCTTGCATTTTTCTTCGGCGAGGACCATCGAGGAGCATCCTGGACCATCTCTTGCGAACAACCAGCGCACGACACCGAACAATGCACGGGGAATGGGCGTCCGAGCGATGGCAAGCCGAGAAGCTGGATGGAGCCGGACCAGAGTGCGCGCCTGAGAACGAATTTGCCTGCCTCTTCGATGCCAAGTGCCTCCACACAGGCCTCGCCGTGTTCGGACATGTGCGAGGACACAGAGGAAGACAATACGTAAACAAATGCAGGCGCGGCACGTCGTTGGACGCAAACGTTGGGGTCGTGCCGAGCTTCCTGAGTCGTTCGTGTCCAACGCCTCAAGCCAAAATGGCTACTACGGACTTCCTCCCTCTCCTCCTCGCCCTCCTCCTCCCTTCCCGTTCCCCTACTCGCCCTTCCCCATTCCTCCCCCCTCCTCCCCACCTGTTGCCCCTGCTTCTCCTCCTCCTTATCCTCCTCCTCCTCCTCCTCCTCCTCCTCCTCCTACTGCTCCTCCTCCTTGCGTCTTATCCTCCTCGCGTCCTCTCCTGCTGCTGCTGCTCCTTCTCCTCTTCCTTCTCCTCCTCCTCCTCCTCTTCCTCCTCGTCTTCCTCATCCGTTCCCTCCCCTCCGTTCTGCTCCCCATCTCCTCCGTACAACCTCCATCCCCCGTCCCCCTTCTGTTCTTTTCTGTTCTGGTCTGTTCTGTTCTGTTCTGTTCTGTGAGCCCAGGCTGGGCACTGGTGCCCGCGCTCCGGGCAAGTTGCGGGCAAGCGTGTGAAGCCCAACAGGTGTGCGGCCGTGGGCAGTTGCGCTGCGCGTGCCCTGTTCAAGCGGGCCGGGCTATGAGGAGGAGGAGGAGGAGGAGGAGGAGGAGGAGGAGGAGGAGGAGGAGGAGGAGGAAGGAGGAGGAGGGGGAGGGGGAGGAGGAGGAGGAGGAGGAGGAGGAGGAGGAGGAGGAGGAGGAGGAGGAGGACGAGCCTTTCACCGTGGCTCGGCACGGTCTAAATGGGTACGGAAAGTATGGGTACGGAGACACACAGCAATCCTTGTCCATATTGCGCCGGATTCGCTGTCCGCGTCGCCGCGAAATGTGGTGACGAAGAACAATAGCGATCCCTGTCCATCTTGGACAGGCTTCGCTGCCCGCGTCGCCGCGGACGTTTTGTCCACTTGAGGCAGAAGGTCGCCTGCCCAACAGCGGCCTCTGTCAGTGTTGGACAACATCTGTTGTTGGGCACTGTGCCCTTTTCCGTACCCATTTTGCGGGCGTCCAGAGTGGCTTCCTCCTGTTGCCCCTGCTTCTCCTTCTCTCCTTGTTGAGGGCCTCCGACATCGACCCTAGAAGGGGCCTGAGCAAGCACGGCCAGGGCAGCGGGCCCATGCCAAGACACACCCTGCTCGCCTCCAGGATTCCCTGGGTCTCTTGGGTTTCGATGGTTTTGCTGTGGAATGCGCGGCGTTCCCACACCAAAAATCAATGGACGACCTGGGGGCTGAGGGTTGGGTTTCTTGTGCAAGGGTTTGTTGTGGTCGAGCCCCTGGTGCACATGCAGGGGATGCCACCCCGAAGAAACCGGAGTCAGCACTGCTCTCCGACACCTTCGGTGTGCCCTGAGCATGCAGCGCAGCGGCCGTGCGCGCGGCGCGCGCCAGGTCATCACGTGCTCCCTGCCGATGTTCGCGTCGGACCCCTCCTTCGAGGGCTGGACGACGGCGGACAGCGGAGCCCTGCTCGGGTGCCCCGCCGCTCCCGCTGCTGCGGCCCCTCGCTCTCCCCGTGGTGCCCCCCCGCCCGCCTCCTCCTGACCGCCCGCCTGCTCCCACGACCGATCCTCCCCCGCTCCCTTCCCAGACCTCCTCGCGCCGTGACAACAATCACGACGGGAGGTGCTTCCCTGTTTTTGACCTCCAGGGGGCCCTCTCCTTGCCCCGGCCCCGGGGCCGTCAACCAACCGACCCAGCATGAGAAGCCGCTCCCGGGGATGGGGTCCAGACCTCCGGGGGTCGACGTGGTGAAAAAGTCACGACGTCGGGGGTCTGGCTTCCCCGGCGCTCCCCCTCAAAAGCTCAGCTCTCTGAGATCCCGGCGTGGCAGTCTGTCGCGTCGGGCGATCTTTTGCCTGGCTTCGGCCCCCCGGAGCCCTCGCAGGCCGAGCCAGCCCGAAGAGTGCAGCAGAAACACGGGGTCTGGGGCTCCCGTCGAGGTTTTCTGAGACGCTGCATTGTTTTCGCAGCGTCGGATCTCAGGGGCTGCCCTGTCAATACGCCCGTGCTGAAGCGCAACCCGTGCCGCGTCCAACACGTCCGGCCGGTTGGGCACGCTGAGCGTGCTGGCTCAGCACGCGTTGTCCCACCTCCGCATCGCGCCTGACCTGCGTCTCCGTCTACGCGTTGAGCTCGCTCGCCCCTTCCCAGCCACGCGCAGAGGGGGGCAGGGAGATGGGGGAGGGCTTCTTGGAGGCACCCTGCTTCTCAGAAGGCGCGGGCCTTATCTGTGAATGTACGGCCAGCGCCTTCCAGGAAGGCAGCCTCCTTCTGAGAGGCCTTCCCCCTTCCCCGTGCCCCCGTCTGCGCGCCGCCAGAGCAGACGATTTGACCACCCCGTGACACATCGCCGCGCACAGGCGAGGCGTTCCCACAAAGGTTGTCTCGCCTGCGAGGGGCGGAGGAGTTGAGATCTCTCCCTCCTCGAAGAAGGCGGCCAAACTGCCTGCGGGAGGCGGCGGAAGGCCTCCTCCTCCTCCCCCTCCTCCTCCCCCTCCTCCTCCTTCTCCTCCTCCTTCTCCTCCTCATCCACCCGGGTCACCCAGCCTCGGGCTTCGCACTGCGCGAGCCGCAATGACCTTCGCGCTCTGAGCGCCGCCTCGAAACTCTTGGGACGGCTCCGCCGGCGGATGCCGGCGGATGGCTGGCGCAAGGCCTTCTGATCTCAAGGTTTTCCGTCGCGCGGTTTCCGTTTGGCTTTGTAGTGAGACCCGCCACGAGACGCCCTATCCCATAGATTAGCGGGCGCCGTGATAGAAAAGGAAGACCAACGGAAACCGGCGGAAGATACACTCGGCCTCCCAAAAGATCACAGTTTGGGGGGTCCAGGGCTTTCGGACCCCCCCCCAGCTGGCGACTCCTCCCTCCAAGCAGATTTCCACTTTGCCGCACCGCCAGGCGTGTCTGTAAGGTGGTCCGTACGTTCGGCCCTGGAACTTTTTCTCGCCGCGGCGACTCGTCTCGAGGTGGGGCCCGCGGCGGCGCCGTTGCGGGCTGGCGATTTGCGTTCAGGGACTTCGGCTTGGCGTGCCGCTCCGTCGGCTCTTGCCCATCACGCGTTGGCGCGACACGCCAACGAGGAGGAGGAGGCGGCGGCGGCGGCGGAGGAGGAGGAGGAGGAGGAGGAGGAGGAGGGAGGAGGAGGAGGAGGAGGAGGAGGAGGAGGGGCGGGGCGGAGGGAGGCGAGGCGGAGGCGGAGGCGGGAGGCGGAGGCGGAGGCGGAAGAGGAGGCGGAGGAGGAGGCGGAGGCGAAGAGGAGGGGAGGAGGGAGGAGAGGAGGAGGAGAGGAGGAGGAGGAGGAGGAGGAGGAGGAGGAGGAGAGGCGGAGGAGGGCGCGGAGGAGAAGGAGGAGGAGAGGAGGAGGCGGAGGAGGGAGAGGAGGATTGAGGGAGGAGGAGGAGGAGGAGGAGGAGGAGGAGGAGGAGGAGGAGGAGTGAGGAGAGGGGGGGGAGGAGGAGGAGGAGGAGGAGGAGGGAGGAGGAGGAGGAGGAGGAGGAGGGAGGAGGAGGAGGAGGAGGAGGAGGAGGAGGAGGTGGAGGGAGGAGGAGGAGGAGGAAGGAGGAGGAGGCAGGAGGAGAGGAGGAGGAGGAGGAGGAGGAGGGGGGAGGAGGCGAGGAGGAGGAGGAGGAGGGAGGCGTAGGAGGAGGAGGAGGAGGGAGGCAGGAGGAGAGGAGGAGGAGAGGAGGAGGAGGCGGAGGGGGCAGGAGGAGGAGGAAGGAGGTGTACGGAGGAGGAGGACGAGGAGGAGGAGGAGGCGGAGGGGAGGCGGATGGTTCCGACCGTAGTTAGGGGAACAAACAAGTGACATAAACACAGAAACAACTCGGAGGTCGCCGGATTTCTAGGCGCTGGGGCCCCCCGGCGGCGCCTCCGGCGCCGCCCCTGGCGCGCTCCGCGCGCCAGGGAGGGGTGTCCAGCGCCGATCCGGGAAATCCGCGCGGACCTCCGAGTTTTTATGTTTATGCCACTTTTTGTTCCCCTACATCTCGCCACCGACTTCTGGCGACTCCTCCCAGCAGGTCGGTGTCCTCCCCGCCGCACCGGCAGGCATGTCCACGGGGCGGGCCGCACGCTTGGCCCTGCAACTTCTTCGCCGCTTGCGGCCCTGACGCATGTGCACTTACGGAGGCGGACCGTTATGAACCTTGCGCTCTCGCCTCAGCGCTGTGCGCACTCGTGTTGAGGAATGGCACGAAGTTTATACCTGCCAGATCGTTGAATGGATGCTGTTTCCTCCTCCTCCTCCTTCTCCCTCTGTCGCTCCTCCCCATCTACCTCCGTCCACGTCCTCCTCCCTCCTGTCTCTCCGTCGTCGACATCGTCGTCGTCCTCCTCCTCTCTCTCGCGGCGCTGCCAAGCGTCTCCCACAAGATGCCGCCCCGCGCCCGACGCGCGCGGGCGCGGCCAGAGCCAGGGCGGGCCCAACCCGTTCCGGAGGGGGGGGGATGAGGAGAAGGCTACTCGTGCACTCCTGTTACGCCTCCAGAGGCCATCAAGGAGGGGAAGCAAGGTTGGTAGAGCGGCGGGGCCACTCAGCCCGGGACAATGTACATACCGTGGACAGCGTACTTTGCTCGTAACGCTGTGCACGTACGTTCTTTGTCTTAACGCACGGCATTAGTAACAGCGTACGGACGTATGACTCTGAAACTGAGTTCAGTGTTGAAGTGCAGGTATCCTGAAGCCTAGTTGTCCTCCTCCAGGGAGCACCCACGCGCACTCTTCGATTGCCCGTAGAGGATCAGTTGTGGGCGGCGCCGCTGTGATACCCCGTCGGAGAAGTTAAGCCGTTTGTGCTGTGGCATTCCTGCGTGATCGGTTTGCCGTGCAGGCGGATCAACGAAGTATGTGACACCACCCATAATGGTAGGTCGATAGTTTAGCTTATGTGCATGGGTGAGATCGCAGTCGTTATGGTCCATGTCGAATATCTTGAGGTGCGTGTACTCGTCGGGAGTGAGATCGTACTGCTGGCTATAAGTTTCGCCACGGTAGCTTTCTCGAGTCTGCCACTCGTACTGGTAGATACTCCAGTATAGATGGCCACCGTGACGTCGTGTTCCTTCTCTGGATCCCACGACGTGTAGTACTGGTGCTGTAGTGAGGTATCTTATGGATACGTCTCAACTAGCACGTATTTATTGCAGGCGTGCCAGCATCCGTCACGCAATGACTGTGGCGGATCTTGTCCGTTGTGTGAACCCTCGGGACGATCACCAATTGTAATTTCATATGCGCCCTCGATGCGTTTGGCGTTGTGCACGTCAATACGTTTGACGTAATGACGTAGTGCAGCTTTGGTGTCGGTAATCTTGAAGTAGTGTCTGCTGCCATCACCTTGGGATACCTTGGTAGCGGGTAGTGTTCATTGGTTGGGTAGGTCACGTAGCCAAATATTTGCCCTGCAAGTAATGGCTGTTCGCCTGCTGCCTCGTCTTCGAGGTGATGGTAGTGCGTGGAGCACATATCGCATAGACGATGGATGCCAGTAGACGGTACTTGGGCCTGTCGCTGGCTTCGTGACAGTACCGTCTGAGCACGATTGATATGTCACGGCATGTCTTTTGAGCCTAGCAATTTGTATTCGCGTCTGGTGATGGCGTGGTAGGTTGACGGGTAGGTGGGGGGTCAGAACGTACAAATGGTGGGGTAGGCGTTCTCGCGATTGTCTTGTGGTATTTGTGTTCGCGTACACTGTGTATGCCCGAAACTACCAGTACTTGCTTTGATATACCGATGGTGCGATGAGGGGGTAGGCGGAGGAGCGATGGAGATGTACATGTTGCTCTGGTAGGCGAGCACGGAGATGTACTAGTGCGCGCGGGGCCCTCGGCGCTGTAGTAGATGGCGGACTCTCTCAGGACGGTTCGTACCTCTCGTCCCGCCCTCGGTCTTCGTCGGGTTCAGGTCCTCGCCCTACACGTAGTGTGTCTCGAAAGAGGTGTCTATGAAGCGCACCAGGCTGTAGTCCACGTCGAAGTCATTCGCGTCTTTCCAGCTGCCTTCCGCGATGTGTACGCAATTTTCGTCGCGCATACGGAAGTAGTATGTAGTGCGCATCGTTGGTGGCGGAGGGGCTGTAGTGGAGGTTGGCCGTCATAGCCGCGCGATCGCCCTGGGAGCAGCAATTGTGCACGGCGATCTGGTCCAAAATACTTGATCTCGTAGTTACACTTCGTCTTGAAGACCTTACACTGGACGTTGTCCTTGAGTCGCTCTCCTCCTCCTCCCCTTCCCCCCCCTCCCAGGGCCTTCGAGCACTATTCCAGCGGCGGCCTACCCATCCAGCAGGCCCTCCAGCAGGCCCTCCAGCAGGCCCTCCAGGATGACCTGTTCGCCAGGGCCTTGCGCCCCCCTCCCCCCCCCCCCCCTCCCATCCCCCCCTTCCGTTGCCCCCCTGCCCCTCCTCCCTCTCCTTCCGCCGCCCTCCCCGCCGGCCCTTCCGCCGACCCCGTCCTTACCCCCCTCCCCCTTCCGCCGCCTTCCCCGCCCCCTTCCCCCATCGCGCCCCCCTCTGCCAACCTTCCCGCCAGCCCCTCCGCCAACCCTCCCTCCCCTCCCCTCCCCCGCCTCCTGCGTCGCCGCTGCTGATGGCATTAGATCCGGATGCGGAGCTGCTCGACCCCACCCTCCAGCGGACATTGCCGCTGAGGGGGGTGAAAAGAAGTGCGAGAAGAAAGAAGAGATGCCCCCCTCCTCCTCCTCCTCCTCTCCTCCTCCTCTCCTCCTCCTCCTCCTCCTCCTCCTCCCCCTCCTTTGATGCGCTGGGCTCCTCTCTCCCTTCTTCTCTCCCCCCTCCTTCCCTCCTCCTTCTCCTCTCCCCTCCCCCTCCCTCCTCCTCCTCCTGCTCCTGCTCCTCCTCCTCCTCCTCCCCCCTCCTTTCCTCCTCCTCCTCCTCCTCCTCCTCCTCCTCACCTCCTCCTTCCCCCTCCCTTTCCTCCTCCGCCTCCTCCTCCTCCTCCTTCTGCTTCTCCTGTCCTGTTTCTGCTCCCAATGCTGGGGACCATCCTGGCGCGCGCTTTATCCTTTTTGTCTTCCTCTTCCTCCTCCCTCCCCCTCCGCAGGTACGCCTCGCTGGCTGCTGGCCTCGGCTTCGGTATCTGGGGGCCCTTCGTGGACTACGTCGGCCCCCGCTACGGCCCCGCCGCCGGCCTCGGGCGCCCCCGCTGCTCCTTGCCATCGCCGTCGTCAACGCCGTCGCCGTCGCCGTCGCCGTCGTTGTCGTCGCCGTCGCCGTCGTCGTCGTCGTCGTCGTCGTCGTCCAGTCCTCGCCGCCGCCGCCGCGGTCGCCGCCGCCGTCGCCGTTGCCATATGCTCCTCGGTGCTCGCTAGTCGGCAACACCATCGGGGTGTTCGTGCTCTCCCAGGCCGAGAGCAAGACCATGCTCACCATCTCGAAGAAGAACAACGGCATGAGCATAAACTTTCGGCGTTCCGCGCGGACTTCTTGGATCCGCGCTGGCCCCTCGTGTCGGCGCCTCTGGCGCCGCCCCTGACGCGCTCCGCGCGCCAGGGAGGGGGGTCCAGCGCACATCCAAGAAATTCGCGCGGAGCGCCTCAAGTTTACACGCTGGTCGTTGAAAGTAGGTATTTTGGGGACTCCCAGATCCCAATCTACTTCAAGCGCCTTCCTACTTCAAGAACGGGCACGCTTTTGCTGTGTTTTGTTATTCTCTGGGAGGGCCTGGACCGAATCCACTTTATCCGCCTTCCTACTTAATGTTTCTACCTGCTTCTTCCGACCGACGTGTAAAGTTTATGCTTGTGCAGTCTTTTCTTGTTCCGCCATCGGCGCGCTGTTCATCCGCCTGAGCTACTCCGCGGGCTTCCCCTCCGAGATCAAGGCCATCCAGCTGACGGTCCCCGAGCAGTACCAGGGCACGGCCCTGTCGATGCTGGGCTTCGGCTCCCGCTGCGGCGCCATCGTCGGCCGGGCGGTCTTCGGGCTTCTGCTGCAGTACTACACGTGGCGCACGCTGGCCAAGGTCATCTCCGGCGCGCTCTTCTTCGCGGCCATCGCGACCGTCATCCTCGTCAACGGGAAATTGGCCGAGGCCGCAAAGACCAGGAAGCAGGTCGACTCCAGCGCCCCAAAGGCGAGCCTCGCAAGCAAGTTGACGAAGCTCGGGAAGGAGCCGGCCGTGTGGATGCTGGCAACAGGCTTCTCGCTCCTGTGCTTCATTATGCATGGCGACGACTTGATGCCGCTCTTGTTCTACGGGCTGACGGGGAACCCCCTCAGCGTGACCTACTCTGCAATTTTCCCGCTTGGCGGCATTTGCGCCATGATTGCGAACGCCACCCAGTCGCACAAGATCAAGTCCAAGGAGAAGAAGGAATGGTTCTATGTCTACCTCAGCAGCATTGCCATCGCTGCGTTTGCCGCGCTTTACTTCATCACATGCGCAGCCGGTTCAGGCAACGTGGCACTGCCAGTCGTCATGGCCTTGATCTGGATTGCAGGCTTCACAGCAGCCCCACCATACTACCAGCTGGCGAACATCTTTGCGATGGAATACGGCGGCGATGACAGCGCCACGCTTGTCAGCATCTACGAGCTGGTGGCATTCTTCACCAAGTCTCCAGTGCACTCTCAGATCTTGAAGATCGCTGACTCCGGATGGGAAAACGTGGTGTTAAGCCTTTTTGTAATCGCGCTGTGCGCATTCTTCACCATGTTCTTCTTCGTGCGCCGTTGGCACAAGGTGCTGCGCAAGAAGAACGATTACGACGTGAATCAGTATGCTGCGGTCGGCAACAAGCAGCCAATCGCCCGCGGTGTGACGCCGTAGATCGTATGAAGGGCTCTGCAGCCATGCTTTTTGATCAAGTTGGCAAGACGGAGGAGCAGAAGGAAGAGATTGAGGAATGAGGGAGCTAAACAGGAAGGAAACAGGGATAATGGGAAAATAGGGGGAGAAGGAATATGAGGGGGGGAGAATGTTCTTTCTCTCCTCCTCCTCCTCCTTCTCCTTTTCCTCCTCCTTCTCCTTTTCTTTTTCCTCCTCCCTTCTCACTCCCCCAAACACTCTTTCTTCCGTCTACTTTCGTCTTCCTTCCTCCTCCCTGCTCCATTTCCCTGGATCAAGAAGGAGAGGATGGCAATCGAAAATATTGGGGAGAAGCGAGCAGGAAGAGTGGTGGCGGGAGCAAAAGGTGCACGAGAAGACGGCAGCCTGGATGAGGGTGGAGAATGGGGTAGGGTGACCGGGAGGATGATTTCGAGGAGGATGATGCGATGCTGATGGTGATGATGACGATGGTGATGATGATGGTGCTGCTGCTGGTGGTGATGATGCTGATGATGATGATGATGATGATGCTGGTGATGATGATGATGCTGATGATGATGATGATGATGATGATGATGGTGCTGCTGCTGCTGATGATGATGCTGATGAGGATGAGGATGAGGACGAGGGCGATGTTGATACATGACGACGACGATGATGCTGAGTTGATAGTGTTGTTATTGAGGATGGTGATGACGATTATGAAGATGGTGAGGAGGATGATGCTGGTGCTGATGATTATGATGATGCTGCTGATGATGATGCTGAGGATGATGATGCTGAGTGTGATTATGATGATTATGGTGATGCTGATGCTGCTGATAATGGTGATGCTGATGATTCGGATGCTGACGATGGTAGTGGTGATGATGATGATCGGAGATGGATGAGGACAAATAATACGAAGACGTGGAGGAGGATGGCGAAGGCAAAGGCCCAGAATGAGAAAACAACATGCGGATCGCGAGGCCCTCAGGATCTCCTCCGCCTCTTCGTCGATGTCCTCCCTCCTTCCTTCCCTATCATCTCTCCACCCTCCCCCCTGCCCCTCGGTCCTTCTCTTCCCTTCGTCCTCGCTCCTCTCTCCCTCCCTCCCTCCCTCCCCCCCACAAGCACGCAGCAATTATTCATGTCCGCCAGCGTGTTCTCCACACGGTTTTACCCAATCATCCTGTGGTGTTGGGTCCTCGTTTTGAAGAAATAGCGCCCCGCGATCCTTTCCTCCTCTTCCTCCTCCTCCTCCTCCTCCTCCATCTCCTCTTCCTCCTCCCATCCCCCCCCCACCTTGGCACACCCCTCACACGGTTCGTGGCCCCGTAGGAAGCTCTGCCGAGGGCCCTAGTGGCGGTGTTCGCATGCGTCCCCGCACCCGATTCGGCACACCCCTCACACGTATCGTAGCCCCGTATGGAGCTTCGCCGAAGGCCCCAGTGGCGGTGCTCGCATTTTTCCCCGCACCCAACGCGGCACACACCTCACACGTATCGTAGCCCCGTATGGAGCTCCGCCGAAGGCCCCAGTGGCGGTGTTCGCATGCGTCCCCGCACCCGATTCGGGACACCCCTCACACGAATCGTGGCCCCATAAAGAGCTCCACCGAAGGCCCAGTGGCGGTGTTCGCATGCGCTCCCGCACCCGATTCGGGACATTCCTCACACGAATCGTGGCCCCATCATAGGGAGCTCCAGCGGAGGTCCCCATGGCAGTGTTCGCATGTGTCCCCGCCAACCATTTCGGCACACCCCTACGTAACATGTGTGGCCCCATAGGGAGCTCCACCGAAGGCCCTGGTGGTGGTGTTCGCACGCGTCCCGACACATATTTCGGCACACCCCTCACACGTTTCCTTTCCCCATAGGGGGTTCCACCGAAGGCAACAGTGGCGACGTTCGCATGCGTTTTCCCCACCAGAGCTCCACCGAAGGTCCCAGAGGCGACGCCCGCATGCGTTTCTCCCAACCAGTAGAACGTTTCGTGGCTTCAATGCCGGGCTCCACCGAAGGTCCCACTGGCGACGTTCGAATGCGTTTCCCCCGCCCAATGCACATTTTGTGGTCGAAAAGGGAGCTCGACCGAATGCGTCAGAGGCGACGCTCGCATGCATTTCCTTTACCCCGTATTGCGATTCGTGGCTCCACAAGGAGCTTCTCCACCGACGGCTCCACTGGCGACGTTCGCATGCGATTCTTCCACCCAATGCAACGCTCCGTGGCCCCATAGGGAGCTCCACAGAAGGCCCCAGGGCCGATGCCCGCATGCGTTTCTCTCGTGCAGTACAGCGCTTCGTGGCCCCATGAGGAGCTCCGGCCCAGGCCCCAGAGGCGACGCTCGCATGCGTTTCCCCCACCCAGCACAGCGTTTTGTAGCCCCTGGGAAGCTCGACCGAGGACTCCACTGGCCGCGGCCACGTGCGTTTTCCACACCCAGCACAACGTTTCGTAGCCCCGTAGGGCGCTCCACCAAAGACCCAGTAGCTGCGGCCGCATGGGTATCCCATACAGTAGATTGTTTCGTGGCCCCATAAGGAGTTCCACCGGAGGCCCCAGTAGCGACGTTCGCATGCGCCCGCCCTACCCATTGCAACGCTTCGTGGCCCCATCAGGAGCTCGACCGAAGACCCCATTGGCGACGTTCGTAGGGGCCCGCCCCACCACGTACAGCGTTCCGTGGCCCCATAAGGAGCTCCACCGAATGCCCGCGTGGTAATGTTCGCATACGTCCGCCCCGCCCAATACAGCGTGCCGTGGCCCCATAGGGAGCCCCACCCAAGGCCCCCATGGCGACATTCGCACGTCGTCGCCACTACCCTGTACGGCGTTTCGTGGCCCCATAGGGGGTTCCACCGCAAGCCCAAGTGGCGACGTTCGCATGCGTCCGCCCCACCCATTACAGCCTTTCGTGGCCCATAGGGAGCTCCACCGAAGGCACCATTGGCGACGTTCCTATGCGTCTGGCCCGCCCAGTAGAGCGGGTCGTGGCCCCATTGGGAAGTACATCGCTTCGTGGCCTCGTAGGGAGCTCCACCGAAGCCCACGATGGCAAAGTTCGTATGCGCCCGCCCCATCCAGTACAGCGTTTAGCCTCACTGGCGACGTTCGCATCCGTCTCCCCGCCGCCCATGTCGACACACCGGTTCACGCGCTTCGTGGCCACATAGGGAGCTCCATCGAAAGCCCGCCCCAGTGGCGACGTTCGCATGGCGGCCCCGCCGCCCATCTCGGCACACCCTTCACACGCTTCGTGGCCCCAGAGGGTGTGGGTATACCTAAGGCCCCAGTAGCAGCGCCCGCATGGCCGCCCTGCCCCCTTTCGTGACCGAAGGCGATACCCACACCGGCGACATTCACAACTGTATATGATTAGACCCGTCGCCAGGATAATTTTGAACCATCGATCTGAAATACATGTGTGTCAAGTTCTGTCATGCATTCTGGGTCTGGCACACTGCGTGTTGCAAGTTATGTTGTGCAAGCCATGCGTTGAACGTCAATTGCTGGCATCAATGGTGTAAGCTATGTGGTGCAGGCTAATTGGTGCGAGTCATGTGGCGCAAGGCGTGTGGCAAAAGGTGTGGGATGCAAGCTATGCGATGCAATGTGTGTGGTGCAAGCTGTGCGCTGCAAGCCATCCGATTCATCCGGAGTAGTCTGCACAATGTGTGTATATGCTGGTGCTTCAATGCACGCATACTGTTTAATATACAAGCACACCTAGATATAGACATATATATATATATATGTGCGTACATGCATGCCGAACTTTACACATACATACATGTGTCTATATAATTGCATTCGGCACATCCCGCTACCGCGGTCTGGGTCCTCCTCCTCCTCCTCCTCCTCCTCCTCCTCCTCATCATCATCCTCCTCCTCCTCCCCATCCTCCTCCTCCTCCTCCTCCTCCTTCTCCTCCCCCTCCTCCTCCTCCTCCTCCTCCTCCTCCTCCTCTTCCTCCTCTTCGTCCTCCCCCTCCTCCCCTTGGGCCCTGGGTAGGGATTGTGCACGGCCGCGAGAGCAAGGCCCCTCCGCGGCGGGGCTTCGGCCGAGGAGGCCGGCCGATTTGTTTTTTTTGTTGGGCGACTCCGCGCCCCCGTCGGGGGCCCGCGGGAGGAGATCGACTGGACGTGAGAGTGACCTTTCGCCGGAGTGGCATTTAGTGCGGGCACAGGTGGGTCCCCAGATGGCTGAAAACGAAGCAGGAGGAGCAGCGGCTTGCGCGCCCAGATTTGGTCCCCCCGCGGCCCCCCAAAAAGCCGCGCACCAGAGGTCACTCCTACCCAGGGTCGCCCTTGCGTGTAGCCGTGGAGAGGCCGCCTTGTGCACGCCTGCCGAGGGCCGCCGTTTTTTCGTGGACCGTAGATCGGCGGCGAGCGAGGGGTGGGAGTGAGAAGGGGCGTCAGAGGAGGAAAGGGTGCCCATACTTTGGCCACGCGCAGAGGGGGGTAGGGGGGAGGGGGGAAGGCTTCCTAGAAGCACCCCTGCTTCTTAGAAGGCGCGGGCCTTCTGTGTAGACGTAAGGCTGGCGCCTTCTAAGAAGCAGCCTCCTTCTGAGAAGCCTTCCCCCCTCCCCCTGCCCCTCCCCCTGCGCGCCGCCAGATGCCGCTACCCTTCCCTCGTTTTCCTCTTTTGGGGGCCTCCTGGGCGGCCCTCGGCGCCACCGCTAGGTTCGCCTCGAGATTCTGCTCAGAGCTCTGGAGGTAGGAAAAGGGGTATGGTGTAAAGGGCTGTGGTGTTGATTTTATGTGAAGGCGAATCTGGCGATGCTATTTATCGCAGAAATCATCGCTAGTTCCACGATTGGCACCATGCCCTTTATGCCACACACCTTTCCGACCTCAAAAAGAACGCACCCCACGTGAGTTTCGGGGAGTGGCGGTATATCGATATACTTTTCGGTCTCACCAGGACTGGCCTTTCCGGAAATCTCGGAGGTACCCAGGCCAGTTGAGAGGTTGTCTAAAGTTTCCCTTAAGTCGGACCTGTCCCTCTACAGGAGGA